GCCTTCACCTCCCTGCAGGGGGGCTGCAAAGAGGATGGAGCTGGACTGTTCTCAGTGGGGGCAGACAACAGGACAAGGAGCAATGGGCTCAAGCTGCAGTAAGGGAAGTTGAGGTTGGATATTAGGAAAAACTCTCTCATGCGGAGGATGATGAAGCACTGGAACAGGCTTCCCAGAGAGTTGGTGGACTCTCCATCCTGGGGGGTTTTGAAGCCCCAGGTAGACAAAGCCTTGGCTGGGATGATGTAGTTGGGGCTGGTCCTGCTCAGAGCAGGGGTTGGACTAGATGTGTCCTCCTGAGATCCCTTTAACCCTCATGTTTCTCTTGTACTATGATTTAGGTGCCTAATAGGTTGAAAAGGATCGGGCTCTCAGTTGCTTAGCTCAAGCTGTGGCATCTCGTCCTCTTAGCCATGGAGGCCCTGCATCCCATCGCTCCTTGGCCAAGACCCAGGGGAGGGTGGCCCAGAAGCAGGCCCAAGGAGGAGTCTTGGATGCTATAGTGACCTTACATATCATCCATTGGCCATATTCTAGAAAGTCACGGCTCTCTGTTGTGAAGGGCCCCTGGAGGGAAAATCCCTTTATTTGGGTGCCAGTTGAGGAGCCCCAAGCAAGCGCTGCACAGAGCGTGGGCATTAGGACAACAGCTTCATCCCATTGCACCTTTCTCCAGGTAACTACGGGAACCAGGTTGATGGTACCGGCAGGCCCAGCCCGCGGAGGAGGAAGGAAGACGGGGACGAGGAGGAGTCTGAGCTGCTCCAGAGCCTGAGTGATGACGAGGCTGACGAGGATGGGGAGCTGGTCTCTGTCTCCTCCACTCCACCCTTGAAGCCCCTGATCACTGACAGGCAAGTGGGATGCAGCATTGCTGGACACCTCCGGTTTGATCTGGGAGGGGATCTTATGGACCAGATCTCTCTGGCTCCGAGAAAAGTCTGCTCTTCTCCAGGGGCCTTCAGGCAGAAGGGGCCCGTGGAGCCAAACAAACTGTCCAGAAATGTGTCCATTTTACTTGAACCCCCCCCCCTGCAAAAAAGTGGTCAGCAGGAGAGATGGGCAGGTCCTCGCCCTGTGCCACACGGCGTGCAGCTGAGTCTCACGGCTGAGATGACAGCACGTCGCAACGGGAGGCGCGTTGCTGTCCCTTCAGGGCCTCGAGCGCCTGTTCAAATCAGAGATTCCCGCTGCCAGAAGATGGAGGGGGGGATTTAATAGCAGCCTTCAGCCACCTGAAGGGGGGGGTGAAAGAGGATGGAACTGGGGCTGAACAGGAGCTGCAGGGGTCACAGCGAGTCCAAACCCGGCCTGAGGCAGGATCAGCCCTGTGCAAACCAACCTGGACATGTCCAGTGTCCAAACTCTTTGCAAAACCACAGTCACCCCTGACATAGTGCTGGGCACCGCACCGGACCCTGCCCCAGGAAAGCAGGGGGACCGCAGCGCCAACGTCCTGGAGTGGCAAAGGGGACGAATGTACCCTTGAGAGATCCCAGGCACAGGCTGTGCCCCTGCTACAGAGGAAGGCAACCCCCTCCCCAAATCCTGTACCAATCTGACCATGGGGGAAAATCCCTTCCTGACCCCAAATGCAGCATCAATCTGACCCTGAGCAGAGGGGCAAGACCCTCTAGCCAGGACCCTGCAGGGTTGAGTCCCAGCAGGAGCATCCCCATCCCCAGCCTGGGCCCCTGGGCGAGGTGGAAAGCCCCCTGACACAGGAGGGGAAAGAGATTCACTCCAGCCCCATGCAGCAACCAGCAAAGCCCAGAAGCTGGGAGATCCCTATAGCAGAGCACAGGCATCGCTGCGCCTAGATCATCCCCACCGGTGTCTGTCCCCCCTCTCCAGACATGCAGCCCCCCCTTCCCTGGCATCTCCCCCACCGCCTCCCTGCTCTAGTGTAGACGTGTTTCCTGAGCTCCAGCTTGAACCTGCCTGGCTGCCACATCGAGCCAGTGAAGTTGCAGCTTCAAGCCACTAATAAGCGGAGTGGGCTGCGCCTCACAGCGTCCACACAAGGGTATAAAGCAGTTGCACTAATGCATGTTAAAAGCTAATCCAGATTCATTTTCCTGATTGCAGACAGGCCATAAAAGCCCTCTCCTAGGTGTTGAGGTGAAATTTAGCCTTGCAGCAGGGAGGCGCGACCACCCCTTTTTGCCCATTGCAGTTCAGATACGGTGACAGGGTCCGGGACTCCCATATCCCAGAGAGCATCCTGCCTCCCTGCCGGGTTCCTGTGATCCTCCCCCTCTGTTCAGCACTGGGGAGACCACATCTGGGGTCCTGTGTCCAGCTGTGGGCCCCCCACTACAGGAAGGATGTGGACACATTGGACAGAGTCCAGTGGAGGGCAGTGAAAATAGTTAGGGACAGGACTGGTGTGGGAGGCTGAGGGAACTGGGCTGATTTAGTCTGCAGAAGAGAAGACCGAGGGAGACTGAACAGCAGCCTTCACCTCCTTGCAGGGGGGCTGCAAAGAGGACGGAGCTGGGCTGGTCTCAGTGGGGGCAGATGACAGAAGGAGCAATGGGCTCAAGTTGCAGCAAGGGAAGTTGAGGTTGGATACTAGGAAAAACTTTCTCATGAGCAGGGTGGTGAAGCACTGGAACAGGCTCCCCAGGGAGGTGGTGCAGTCTCCATCCTTGGAAATTTTGAAGACCCGGGTAGACAAAGCCTTGGCTGGGATGATGTGGTGGCTGGGAGCAGGGGCTGGACTAGATGTGCCTCCTGAGGTCCCTTCAACCCTCCTTGTCTGTGACTCTATGATCCTGTGACGTGCCTGCTCCCATCCTCTCATGGGTGCAGAGCCGTGCGCCCCCCCCGTGCCTGATCCACTGGCACTGATGGAGTCTGTCCACGAGCTCCAGCTCCCACCCCCTCGTGTGCCGCCTCCCTCCTGCATCCCAGGCAAAGCCTTGTGCGCCTGGCCAGGTGCCCAGCCAGGTCGGGCCAGCTCAGTCCCATCCCAGCGCCCTCTCTACTCCTGCTCACGCCCGTGTGCCCTTCCCCCTGTCCCCGCACTGCAGGAACTACTTCCACTTGCCTTACTTCGACAAGAAGCCCTGCATCTACATCAAGAGCTGGTGGCAGGACCAGCGGCGCAGGCTGTACAACTCCAACATCATGGACAAGATTGCCGACAAGCTGGTCAGTGCCGCCCCCGCTGGGAGACGAGCAACGGGGGGTGGGGGGGGGCACGCTCAGGTCTCCTGCTCCTCACATGGCTGATGCCGCTTAGGGATCCCACCCAGCTGGAGGGCAGGCTGCGCCCAGACCTCCACCCCAAGCCCAAATCCCAGACCCCCTTGTTGCTCAGAGAGCCGGAGACTGTGTCTGACCCATCCAGGGGTCCACGACCCATTGCATGAGGCACGGGACGAGGGGTGGGAAGCAACCAGCAGCATCCCCAAAGACGCCATGCTTCAGGGCCTCTTGCAAAGTATTAGCTCTCCACACAGACTGGGCTGATAATCTGGGGAGCCCAGCCCCACAGCGACTAGACGCACAGCGAGGTCTCAGTGGCTTCAAGCTAGATGATTGTGTGCAAGGCAGAGGCACGTGGGAAGCCAGGAGGGATGCTTGGCTGGGCTGTCCTGCCTTGTGGAGGACCGGGGAGCCGGGACCCCAGCTTCCCCCGGTGATGTGCCAGTCCTTCTCCCCGCTCCCGTCCAGGAAGAGGGGCTCAACGACGTGCACGAGATGATCAAGACGGAGAAGCCGCACCCCGAGCGCCGGCTCCGGGGGGTCCTGGAGGAGCTGAGCAGCGGCTGCTTGTGAGTGTGTACAGGCAGAGATATGCATGCAAGAGGCATCCCAGACCCCAGCCCTGGGAGCTTTCCACGCCTGGGTGCGGGGTAGCTGCCTCTCCAGGCCTGGTGCGTGCTGGGTGAACTGAAAAGCAGGGTTGGGGGGCTAGAGAGGGCCCAGCCTCACCTAGCAGGAGACCCGTGCCCACCCTTCAGCAGGGGGGTGATGGGCAGGGAGGGCTGGTCAATGCCACACCCAGAGCCAGGCCTGGGTACCGCACACCTCCCTCCGATGCTGCTGCCCCCTCTCCCCGGAGCCCCCGGAGGACTGACACTGCCCCCCCACGCCTCTCCCCAGCCGCTTCGTGACCCTCGCCAACAAGGACGAGAACCACTCCTCCCGCACCCGGCTGGACCGCGAGCGCCTCAAGTCCTGCATGAGGGAGCTGGTGAGAGCATCGGCTGCCGCGGTGCCAGGAGGGTTGTGGGGGGCTGTTGCTGCCGAGCCCCCGGTTGCATTTGACCCCGCTGGACGCATACCCCCTCCCCTCCCTGCACACCGAGTCGGCACCCTCCTCTCCTTGGTGCAGACAGGGGCACCGAGGCGCCGTCCTTCGCCCACACGACCCGTGCAGACCTGCCCCGTGATTTTCCTTCCTCCCTGCTCTCTTTCACACGCCGCCCTTGGGCCTGGGCTCTGTTCCCACCCTAGGAGAACATGGGCCAGCAAGCCAAGACGCTGAGGTCCCAGGTGAAGAAAAACACCATGAAGGACAAGCTGAAGCTGGTGCAGAACTTCCTGCAGAAACTGCGCTTCCTGGCCGACGAGGTGAGCGCGGGTCGCCCGTCCGTGCCGGCTGGTTGGTTGATGTGCACTTGGCCATCGTTTGGGTCTTGGAGGCATCCCTCATCTTCCATCGCCCATGGGGGTCAGAGCTCTTCCGCGACGCCCCAATTCTGGGGTAGATCCTCCTTCCCGAATGGCCCATGTGGTCCCATAGGCCGTGCTTGACAGCCGAGCTGCTTTGACTGGCTGTGCCGGTTGATTTGAACGGATGGGCAGCAGCGTGCACGGAAACCCACCAGCTAGGACTGGATCCGCTCGGTACATGCGGTAGTAGGTCCGTGCATCGCTTCCTGTGGACCAGCGGCAGAGGGTCATTCTGCACGACAGGCCCCTAAAGGGACAATTTTAGGGAAGACACGGGGTGGGTGACTGCTCCCAACCCGGTGGAGGGTGGGAGGTGGGTGGATGGCTGGAGCTCAGCAAAAGACACGGCGGGGAGGGTGCTGGACAAAATTTGGATTGAATGCACAGGATCCTAGAGAAGCCAAATTTGAAGAGCCCGAAAGAGTCACGTTGAGTCCAACGCCTGCCTGAGGCAGGATCGGCCCTGTCCACACCAGCCCGGACAAACCCATAATCATAAATAGCATTGAAATCCTAAAGCAGTGGGGCTGGAAGGGGCGTCCAGACGTCACATCTAGTCCAGCCCCTCCGGAGGTGCAATCGCCTACCCTGGAAATCATTGAGAGGAGACTGGACGGTCACCTTGCGGGGGTCTCTTAACCCCAGTTATCTTTCCTGCCCGGTGCATGGTGCTGGATGCGATGATCTTCCAAGGTCGCTCCCGTCCTTACAACCCATGAAACCCCTGCCTGAGGCAGGATCAGCCCTGTCCAAACCAGCCCAGACAAATCCTTGTCTAACCTAACCTGTTGCACAGCCACAAGACATCCCACCCAACCCTGCCACAGGGGAAGCAAGGGGGACCAAAGGTGCCAACGTCCTGCTGCTGCCAAGATGGATAATATCTGGCAAAGAGATGCCAAGAAGGGGCTATTGCCCCTAGCACAGGGGAAGGTGAAGCCCCCCTAGTCTGTATCAGTAAAAAAAAAATCCCTCCCTGACCCTAACTCTGGCATCGGTCTGAGCCTGAGCACAGGGGCAAGACCCCCTAGCCAGGACCCTCCGGGGTTGGTGCCAGCAGGAGCATTGGCACAGCCCCATGCCCAGCCTGCGCTGCAGCCAGCACACAGCGCCTCTGCGGGAGGCTTAAACCCCCCCGACACATAGCAGAAATGTGGGGAGGGGGCAACCAGCAAAGCCCAGAAGTCGGGGGGATCCCCATAGCAGAGCACAGGCATCGCTGCACCTAGATCATCCCCACCAGTGTCTGTCCACCCCCTCCGTGACACCTCCAGGGATGCAGAGTTGCCCCTTCCCTGGCATCTCTCCCACCGCCTCCCTGCTCCACCAGTGAATGCATAAACTTCCTGCACGTCCGGCTGCACGGGAGCACGTGCTCTTTGCAAGCCACTGGGATCAGACTCTGTCTCCCTGCCTCGAACGTGTCTGGCCGGGCGTCAGCCGCGCCGTACTCGACCCGCCCGCTGGGCCTCGACATCCCCGTCTCCCACAACCGGTCTGAAGTTTCCCGCAGCAAAGCCCAGGTCTGCAGGATCAGCCTGTTTCATGGGGAAAATGCTATGTGCCAAGGGTTGCTGGTTGTAGCCCAGCTGGTCTAAGGACACAGGCAGACAAGCGTCTTTGAGGAGATGTGATATCTTTTATTAGACCGACTGAATCATTGCAAAAATTGTTCTTTGCAAGCTTGTGCCCAAATACTTGCGAAGAGCAAGTTTTCCAGTTATTTACTTGGTCTAATAAAAGGTATCACATCTACCCAAAGTGCCTTGTCTGCCTATTTGCCAAGCTGTTTCCGGATCCTGAAATGCTTTGGGTCAGGGCAACAGGAATGGGGGCATTTCAGCTTCCCAGTGCCCCCGGGAGTGTCCGGTTTTGGAGCCCTGTGCTCCTGTTCTCCCTGGGCCAGGCTCCAGTGCTGGACTACATGTCCCATGATGCAGTGCAGCTGCTTCTTTGAATGGTTTGGTGTGGCTGTGGTGCATCATGGGAGATGCAGTCCAGCCAGGAGCCCAGTCCGTAGAGGAGAGTGAAGTCAGGAGATGCCTGAACAACATCTCCCATGAGGCTTCTGGCAGGTGGAGCTCGTGGTCCAAGGACACGTGTGGACGCTTCCAGACCTGTTTGCAATGGAAACCAATGCCAAGGGCATTGGAGGGGCAATGCCAGGCTTTGCCGTCGGCATGTCCGCGGTCTGCATCTGGGTAATCTGCTAACCCTCCACAAATGGAGGTTTGAAACCGTCTCTACAGCCTGGGAGGCAGCAGCCACGCTCATCCCCGTGGCCCTTTCTCCCGCTCCTGGCTGTGCCAGTGCCCCAGACCTCCGAGCCCAGCGCACAGGCCTTGCACGCGGGTGTCTTGCTCTCCCCCGGGGTGGTGACCAGGCCCGCTGTGTTCACAGCCTCAGCACAGTATTCCCGACATCTTCATCTGGATGATGAGCAACAACAAGCGCATTGCCTATGCCCGCGTCACCTCCAAGGACATCCTCTACTCCATCGTGGATGAGGAGACCGGGAAGGACTGCGCCAAAGTCAAGACCGTCTTCCTGAAGGTGCCTGGCTGCCCCTCTCCTCCGCCTGCCGGAGGGATGGGGTGGAGACGAGAACGAGGACAGGGAGGCAGGGGCCAGCGGGAGAGGGGCAGAGGAGGCAGGCATAAGCTACTGACCAGTGCTGGGTACCAAGCTGTATGGACCGGCAGTCTGGTCTGGTCTGGAGCAGCCGGAGGTCCTAGTCTAGGTTATATGGACTGGTGCTCTGGTTGGTAATAGTAGGAAGTCCTCTACCAGACCGTATGGACCGGTGGTCTGCTCTGTAATAGAAGGAGGTCCTCTACCAAGCTATATGGACCGGCAGTCTGTAATAGTAGGAAGTCCTCTGCCCGGCCCTATGGACCTGTGGTCTGGTCTGCAATAGCAGGAGGTCTGCTACCAGGCTATATGGACCAGTAGTCTGTAATAGCAGGAGGTCCTCTACCAGGCTTTGTGGACCAGTCTGCTCTACAATAGTAGGAGGTCTGCTACCAGGCTATATGGACCGGTAGTCTGGTCAGGACTAGCCGGAAGTCCTCCACTAGGCTGTATGGACCTGTGGTCTGGTCTGCAACGCAGGTGGCCCTCTACCAGGCTGTATGGACCAGCGGTCCAGCCCGGTATGGTAGGCAAGGGGGACTTGCCTGGAAGGACAGACGGTCCCAATCTGAAGCAGCAGGAGGTGGGGGGCTGGGGGCGGGGACATGGCTTCCCTGTGTCACCCCCTTTGCTCCCTGCACTCAGCTGCCCGGCAAGAGGGGCTTTGGGCCGGCCGGCTGGACGGTGCAAGCCAAGATGGACATCTACCTGTGGCTGGGCCTCAACAAGCAGCGCAAGGACTTCCTCAGCGGCCTGCCTTGCGGCTTCGAGGAGAAGAAGACTGTCAAAGGCCAAGGCATCCCATCCTTCCCCCCCATCAGCCTCCTCTACACAAGTAAGAGCCCCCAGCCCAGGCCCTTCCCTCCGGGGCTTACTGGTGAATATAGGCCACGGCTGGCTCTGCGAGGCCACGTTCCTCCTCGGTGCCAAGGCACGGCCGCATCCCAGCGACCGCTCTCCATCCCGGTGGGGTCTGTGCACTCAGGGCTGGGCTGGCACCATGCATGCCCCCTTCCCCTCCTGATCTGAGCTCAGTGCCCGGGTTTCGCACTAAGGCCCCAGTCTCACCACCACCATCCTCCCTCCCAGAGAAACAAGTCTTCCAGCTCCGTGTCCACATGTACCAGGCCAGGAGCCTGTTCGCCGCAGACAGCAGCGGTCTCTCAGACCCCTTCGCCCGGGTCTTCTTCATCACCCAGAGCCAGTGCACAGAGGTAAGAGCATTTCCTGCATCCCCCAAACCCCCGAGGAGGTAGCAACCTCCTTGTGCTGCCAGCGAGCGGGGGGTGCTCCTTCCTCTCAAGCCATGGGGCTCGGGACCTGCGGGGTTCGGACCGCACTGGGGGTTATAAACCAACAGCTGGACCTTGCCCGTGGGGTAATTCCCCACCATTCATCAGAGGGTAGCTTGTGCTGAGAAAGCAACATGCCCAAGGTCACAGAGAGTCGGTGTCAGAGCCTGAGTTGCTCCAGGAGCAACAGACACCCCCCGATACCATTCACTGGACCTCACTTTTCCATTGCCCTTCCAAACATGCTCCTATCAGCCTTTGCAAATGAAGGCACAGCCTCCTGCAAAGCCTTAAGAAGACCCCCTGCCCAGTGACACCATCTGCACTCCTTGCTGCGCTGCTAAATCATTGCCCTTGTATTGCAAATGTCTTGGTGCTGGATGGGTGGTAGGACCAGCAGCCTGGTGGGACTGTGGCTGTTGTCTCCTGGGGTCACCTCCGCTGAGATGCTCTTCCATGTCCCCTTGCTCCCAGGTGCTGAATGAGACCCTGTGCCCCACTTGGGACCAGCTGCTGGTCTTCGACAACGTGGAGCTGTTCGGAGAAGTCCATGAGATGCGGGACGATCCCCCCATCATCGTCATTGAGATCTATGACCAGGACACGGTGGTAAGGCCATGCCTGGGCCTGCTGGGAAGTCAGGCATTGAGGGTGGGGCTGTCCCTGTCCATGGACAAGTGCCAGGCTTCTGGGTTATAGAAACACAGACCCATAAAAGCACAGAAAGTGAGGGTTGCAGGGAGCTCAGGAGGTCACTTCTAGTCCAACCCCTGCTCAAAGCAGAGCCAGCCCCAACTACATCATCCCAGCCAAGGCTTTGTCTACCAGGGGCTTCAACACCTCGAAGGATGGAGACTGCACCACCTCTCTGGGGAGCTTGTCCAGTGCTTTACTATTCATGACAAAGTTTTTTCTAATATCCAACCTCAACTTCCCTTGCTGCAACTTGAGCCCATTGCTCCTTCTGTCGTCTGCCCCCACTGAGACCAGTCCAGCTCCATCCTCTTTGCAGCCCCCCTGCAGGGAGGTGACGGCTGCTATTCAATCCCCCTCGGTCTTCTCTTCTGCAAACTAAATTAGCCCATTTCCCTCAGCCTCTCCTCACCAGTCGTGTGTCCCAGCTCCTGAACAATTTCCATAGCCCTCCACTGGACTCTCTCCAGTGTGTCCACATCCTGTCTGCAGTGTGGACCCACAGCTGGACACAGGACTCCAGATGTGGCCTGTGTAATGCATGTCCTGCTTAAGCAAAGGAAGAAGGAGGTGTGGTGGTGCTGGCTTTATGCTTTTAACTGCACATGTGTGGCATGTTCCTATTTACATGAGTAAGAGTGAGCTCCTAGATCCCTGAGAGCAGGGACCAGGTTTCTAAGCTATTCCCCTCCTGTGCCCCCCAAAAGACCGGGCAGCTGTGGGAGACAGCGTTCAAGGAACCAAGTGAACTTAGGCCTCTGTTAGAAAGCAGGATTTGTTTATTAGATGCTAGCTCCAAACAGCAAAGCAATGGGTTTTTATTTCTTACCATCACTCGTGGCACTTGAGTGAGGGGACACGCAAGGAAGTGGCTTGGGGGGAAAGTTTAAAACCATCCCAAGGCCGGTCTGCATTGCACAAAGAGAAAAGAAGACCGAGGGGGATTGAATAGCAGCCTTCACCTCTCTGCAGGGGGGCTGCAAAGAGGATAGAGCTGGACTGGAGTACTGCATCCAGTTTTGGGCTCCACAATTCAAAAAGGATGTGGAGAAGCCTGAGAGAGTCCAGAGAAGAGCCACGAAAGTGACCAGAGGTCAGGAAAACAGACCTTACGGCGACAGGCTGAGAGCCGTGGGGCTCTTTAGCCTGGAAAAGCGCAGGCTCAGGGATGATCTGGTGGCCACATATAAGTTTATCAGGGGTGACCACCAGGATCTGGGGGAACATCTGTTCAGCAGAGCGCCCCAAGGGATGACGAGGTCGAACGGTCATAAACTCCTGCGAGACCGTTTCAGGCTGGACATAAGCAAGAATTTCTTTACTGTCTGAGCCCCCAAGGTCTGGAACAGCCTGCCATGGGAGGTTGTTCAAGCACCTACTCTGAACACCTTCAAGAGCAAATTGGATGCTTGTCTTGCTGGGATCCCACAACCCCAGCCAACTTCCTGCCCTTTGGGCTGGGGGCTGGACTCGATGATCTTCTGATGTCCCTTCCAGCCCGAATGTCTATGAAATCTATGACTGTTCTCACTGGGGGCAGACGACAGGACAAAGAGCAATGGGCTCAAGCTGCAGCAAGGGAAGCTGAGGTTGGATATTAGGAAAAACTTTCTAACTAGGAGGGTGGTGGTGCACTGGGACAGGCTCCCCAGGGAGGTGGTGCAGTCTCCATCCTTGGAGGTGTTGAAAACCCGGCTAGGCAAAACCTTGGCTGGGATGATGTAGTTGGGGCTGGTCCTGCTTGGAGCAGGGGGCCGGATGAGATGTGACCTCCTGAGCTCCCTTCCACCCTCATTTTCTGTGATTCCTGTGCGACAGGATGTGGGGAGGCAGGGACCATAACCAGTTTGCAGAGGGGACCCAGCACGTTCCTCCTGCAGGATGGATCCACCGGGGGATATTAAATATGATCATTAGGGCTGCCACCCCCACCTGAACCTCCCCAGCCTCTGAGTGCTGGGCGCTGCAGGGGCAGAGGAGCTGGTGGATCAGCCTTGCAGACACGCTCTTCCCCTCAGCATCCACTCTGTGCCCCGGGGAGAGACGGGACCCGGGGCTGGAGGGGTCTGGGGTGTTAGCCGGGGGGGCAGCTCTGCTGTCCGTCATCCACAGATTTGCAGTAAGTGGTGGGGCATCACAGCATCTGCTGGAAGACCTGGCGAGAGGGTCAGTCAGTGGATCCGTCCATCCCTCCAGGGGCTCCAACACCCGCTGGGACCACTCTGGCCTTCCCGTTTCACCCCTTCCTTCCCCTGCAGCGTGCTCGTATCGGTGCAGCCCGCCTGCTTCTCCCTCTTGCCATGCTTAGCTGCCAGCTGCTGTTTTTGTGGGATTCCCATTTCCTTAGCCAGGGGCAAAGCATCCAGTCCTTGGGGTTGCAATTCAGGCTGACGTGTAACGACTGCCGGTTTAGCACCCCAGGCCCGGATACGTGGGGCTTTTGCTCCGAAGCTACAACACTTTGGTCTCACTGTTATGAGGCGTAGCTGGAAAAGGGGTGCAAACCCCTCGCCGCAGCAGCAGCTTGTCTGCACCCCATGCTGGACACGTCATGCCCATAAAACCCCTGAATCCCAACTAACGGCCCCCAGCTATGCCAGCTCCCATCCTCCCACCATGCCTGGGAGGGGCCGTGCGTGCCAAGGGAAAAAAAAGCCCATGCTTCCTGTCTCTGTGGTGCCAGGGGAAGGCAGATTTCATGGGCCGCACCTTTGCCAAACCGGTGGTGAAGATGTCGGATGAGGACTACAGCGGGCCGCGCTTCCCGCCCCAGCTGGAGTACTACCAGATCTACCGGGGCAACTCCACCGCCGGCGACCTGCTGGCCGCCTTCGAGCTGCTCCAGGTAACACCTGAGCCCCGACGCAGCCTGGGGACATCCATCTAGGCTGCATTTGGGTTGCAGTCACAGCACCGAGGGATATCCTCATAGCAGAGCACGGACATCACTCCCCCTAGGTCACCCCCCTCTAGCACCTGTCCCCTCTCTCCTTGAACACGTCCAGTGCTGGAGAGCCCCCCTCTTCCCTAGCATCTCTCCCACGGCCTCCCTGCTCTGATGGAAGAAGTGTTTCCTGAGACCCCTCGCCATGATGCCCTGGACCTGCCCACACAGCGAGCCCCCCAGCCCCTTGAGGCCACCTTTGCAGGGCATTGCAAACTATAACCCCCTCCCTATCTCTGCCCATGGGTCTGGATGCAGTCTGCCAGCCCCTTCTGCCGGGCATTGCACGGGGGCAGGCAGCATCCTGGAGAAAACAGACAGGGCTGGTTTGGCATGGCAGAAGAAGGGGCATTGCAGCCCCTGGGGCCAGGCACTGAGATGCCCTTTTGGATGAGGGCCCTGATGTCCAGGTGACCCCTTTGGTAGGGTCGTGGCTTCTCTCATCTCTTATAATCCAGCTCAGCCTGGTGTTTTCCAAGCACCTTCCTCCCTGAGAGTTGTCCTGGGGCTGGAGTCCGCGTCCCTGCTATCCCAGGCAGCCATGCTCCACCGCCTGGCTCTTGGGCTGTGTACAGCAAGCACCATCAGTGGTGGCACCAGCCCATTATACAGCCTTGCAGCTGAGAGGCGAGGCCTGAGTGACCGAGGGAGAGTGTCCGGGGCAGGCGGGGGTTGCAGACTAGATCATCCTCTGAAACCATCTCTTCCAGTTGTACCAGCCACATCCGCGATGCATCATGATAAGCAGATGCGTGGACATGGACACATGTAGCCTGGGGAGAAACTGGCTGCAGGGGGTCTAACCAGCCTTGTGTTCCTTCCAGATTGGCGCCGGGGGCAAGTCGGACTTGCCCCCCATCGACGGTCCCACAGACATGGACCGGGGCCCCATCCTGCCTGTGCCCATGGGGATCCGGCCTGTGCTGAGCAAATACAGAGTGGAGGTAATAGCCTTCGGTGGGTCAGACTTTTGCAAGCTGCAGCTTCTGTGTGGCTCATCCCATCACCGTTCGGCTGCCCTGCCGTGCAGCATAGCTTGCAGCATTGCCTGAGATGCTGAGATGATGCATCTGCTTTGTGGGGTGGAGGGGCCAGGCTGGAGAAGGACTGGCCTCTCTTACCTGGAAGTGCAGGTCAGGACTGATGCACTGAGCTGTGAGGGGGGCAGGGATCCGGACATTGCAGCTCATCACTTTTGGGGTGCGGGGGGGGAGTTTGCTCAGCTCCTCTCTGCTCCAGGGTCAGCTCCAGCCAGCATTTCCCCCCTTTGGTTTCACTGGACTGAACTCAGTGCAGTTAACAACAGGCCAAAGGCTGCAGCCGCTCAAAGCCCTGCACCCTGCGCCAAGCCAGCATTGCACATCGATGCCCTCAGAGACTGAGGCTCGCAGCGGCAGAGCTGAAGGTCCCGGCAGCTCTGCACCATCCGCCCGACTCTCCCAACACTAACCCCCCATCAAAAAAGCAAACAAAATGTTTGGGGTTATTGAGAAGGGAATTGGGAACAGAACAAAAAGTTTTATGAGGCCCCTTGATAAATCCGCAGTGCGTCCACACCTCGAACCCTGCACCCAGCTCGGGTCCCCGCTTCTCCAAAAGGAGATGGAAAAACCAGAGAAGCGTCTGGCCCCGTACAGGGCAGGTCTTACATTATGCTCTTGTCTCCTCCTGCCCAGATCCTCTTCTGGGGGCTGCGGGACCTGAAGCGCGTGAACCTGGCGCAGGTCGACCGGCCCCGCGTGGACATCGAGTGCGCCGGCCGGGGCGTCCAGTCCTCCCTGATCCAGAACTACAAGAAGAACCCCAACTTCAGCACCTTAGTCAAGTGGTTCGAAGTGGTGGGTCCTGTCTGCTCCCACCCGGGAGGTCACTGTGGTGGGCACAGCCCTTCTTCTTGCTTGTCTGGGGCGGACCATGAATCGGGGTCTTCATCAGTGATGCATCTGCAAAGGCCGGTGCAAGGCTAGAGCACCTGGGGGGCTCCTGGGGTCTGCAGCATTGCTCTCCTGCTACTCAGGCTCTGTTGGCATTTTGATTTGAGGATCCCATGCCATGTGGGCAGCCCCCCTCCAAAGCCCTGCTGCATTCGCATAGGATGGGGGAGCTCTGTGCTTCCCAGCATGCAGCCCCCACCCCATCCCAAGGGCTCCAGCATTTCTCTTAGGGTTGCACTGCCTCTGATAGCTCCTTCCCTCCATCAAATGTGCCCTGCTGTGCTGGAGGGGGAAAGGTCAATCTGGGCCTTCAGGACTACCAAATCAGCCAAATCCTAGGTGATGGAGACATCTGGTTGCATGCACCGTGATGCATCCTACAAGGGTAGAGGAGGTGAGGGCACCCCCGGGGCCTAGGCAGGGAGCTCCAATAGTCCCAGAGAACGGGCTATATCCCATGCAAGAGGAAGGCAAATAATCCACGATGGTCCCTGCTAATGCGGCCAGAGCTGGGAAATCCTCCCCCGACCCCAGGCCCGGCTTCACCCCGACAGGTGACCCCAAATCCAGCTGTTCACGGGGTTTTCCTTCCTCTCCAGGACCTCCCGGAGAACGAGCTGCTGCACCCGCCCCTGAACATCCGGGTGGTGGACTGCCGGGCCTTCGGGCGCTACACCCTCGTGGGCTCGCACGCCGTCAGCTCCCTGCGCAAGTTCATCTACCGGCCCCCAGACAAGAAAGCCCAGCAGTGGAGCACCACAGGTACCCGGCCCGGGCCGCGGCAGGCTGCAGGCCCGCTGGAGGGAGCGAGTCGGATGAGTGTGGGGCTCTTGGGGGGTGAGAGAGAGGAAGTGGCATTTCCTGTGCGTGAAATCATCTCCCCAAGCCCATGTGAGACCCAGCGCCAGGGTCGGCTGCTGGGGGAGTGTAAGCCAGTGGTCAGGGCAGAGGGTCAGCAGGACTGTAGGCGGTCGGGGCGAGCGATGGCCCAGGACCTACCGGAGATATGACGCCCTGCCAAGCTCCATCTCGGGCACAGCCATGCAGGCTCCCAGGGGGAGAGGATGGGGATATTGGGGTCCCCTTCATTGCTGCCAGGCCTGGGCAGGGCCGTGACCCATGCATGTGGGTTTTCTGCGGGACGTCCTGTCCCGTGCATGCTCTGTGGCTTGTGGGGGCGCTTTGCAAGGAGCCGGGGGTCAGGGTCTGTTGGGTGAGAGATGCCACCTCGGCTCAGTTCGTGAACAGAGGGATCCCAGCTAGAGCCTCAGGGCACAACAGCTCCGTCCCCAGCTGAGCCTGGGTGCAGGGGCCAAGGACGTCCCAGCCCGCAGAGACCAAACTCCCCTCCCAGGGCCGAGGCATCAGTGCTGGGGATGGGGCCTCTGTCCCCATGGTGCCTATCCTGGGTATCTCTGCTCAGCCCCTTGTTGCCTTATTCCCTGGGTGGATGTGAATGGGAGTGAGGGGGCAGGATCTGCTCCCTAGCAGTCTATGCCACCTCCCTGCAGCGCTGTTAGGAAGCAGGTCCTGCCCCCTCACTCCCATTCACATCCACCCAGGGAATAAGGCAACAAGGGGCTGTTGAGAGGCCCTGAGCATCAGCCCCCCCAGATCCCAGCCAGGCCCAGGCTTAGCCCCTCTCTGCACTGCCCTGTTCCTAGGAGTGGGTGGGCAGGGGACAGGTATGAGCGGGCTGCGTGTCTCACATCAGTGTGGGCATCCTTCTCCAGGGCTGGCCTGGGAGATGGGATGGATGCACCCTTAGCAAGTGTGTGGATGACACCAAGCTGGGGGGAGCAGTAGATAGGCCAGAGGGTCAGGCTAGGATTTAGGGTGACATAGACAAATTGGAGGATTGAACCTCAAAAGAAATCCTATGAGGTTCAACAAGGACAAGTGCAAAGTCCTGCACGTCGGAGGGAACAGTCCCCTGCACCGGTGCAGGCTGGGGGGA